CCCCACTACACATCAACACTGTCCTTACTCAACCTTGGGTTCCCTATCACCAGCTTTCCTGTCCCCTTCTGCCTTCTAGCCCTTGTCCCTGGACTGCTGTGCCTCATTAATCCCATTTTGTTTTATGGGGCTTAAGCTCTATGTTTTGTTTGTTTCATTATCTATAAAATAGATATATTAATAGTAATAAATTTACTGAGTTGTTGTGAGGATTAAACTAATTGCTTACATATAAAATCTCTTACAATAATCTTTTATTTAATTGATTATTTTTTATACACTTTAGATGATTTACTGAGCAAATCAGTTTCTCACTAAACAATTAATACACATATTGTTTTGTGACATTGATTGCCAACACCACAATGTGTCAACCCTCTCCTCTTCTCCACCTTGGGTTTCTCATTACCAGCTTTCCTGTCCCCTCCTGCCTTCTCATCCTTGCTCCTGGGCTTGTGTGCACAATTAGTTTCATTTTGTTTAATGGGGCTGTCTAATCTTTGAATGAAGGGTGAACCTCAGGAGTGACTTCAGTACTAAGTTAAAAGGGTGTCTGGGGCCATACTTTCAGAGTTTCTCCAGTCTTTCTGTCAGACCAGTAAGTCTGGTCCTTACAATAATCTTGATGCACAGTAAATCTATATAAATATTAACTATTATAATTATGTTTAGCACCTAGAGAATTCCTTTATTTTTTAAATCTGGGTCAGCTATGTGTCAAAATAACTTTTCCGCATTCTATGTGTATGTACATTTTTTTACACAGTAGCTTAGGTGGTTATGTTCCCCAAATTCCTTAACAAACATTTCACTCTTCCAGAGATTTTAAATTTCTCTCTTCCACTGCTGACACTCCCCAAGCTCTTTGCTGCCTTTTGTCTAAATATATTTTGATTTCTCTAAAAATACAGTCAGGTTATACCATCTTGAACAAAAAGTCCAATTTATGTTAGATAATAGAAAGTGCTTGCTAAAGAATAAAATTTTCCCGAGTATTGAAATGTGCTGATGTCTGAAAAGAAAATAATTGACAAGGAAATCAATTAACTTGTAGAATGAAGAAAGAATGATGTATGTGAATAATTTACTAATATCATAAGAGTTTATTGAATAAAAAATTAGGTCAATTTATGATGTAGGGTAAGTAATAAATTAGAGAACTTCTGGACCATTCTAGACTCAGGACTTAATGAATATGCAAATGAACAGCTGACCAATTTACAGTTCTTATCTCTGGACGGACACCATTTATTCCCTCCTTATTGTTAGGAAAAGTCATGCCCAGTTCTCTTCACTCAGTGAAGGACAGATATTATATAAACCATAAAGCTAGAAAATCCAGCTAACCTCTTCAATTTGATTTCCACTCACTCATTACTTTCATTGAAATTCTATTCTGTATTAGAGAATCCAAAAGACACAGTTATTTAGTTTTCATTTTCACTGAAATACGAAGAGTTAAATCAGCATGCTGTACTGGCGAAGGTGCTTCCTGAAGTTGATAAGAAAGGAAGTGGATGAGACCCTGGCACCAGAGTCCAGCAGAGGTGAACCTGAGATAAAAACACAGGTTGGTGGACATTGAAGACCCTGCCTGTTTCCTCTGTCTTCCAGTTCTTTAAAAAGAATATCCCTTGTAGCTCATCTTATCCGAAAACATTCTAGAAACAGAATTCTGAAAACTGTAGTTCAGCTTAGACAAGATAACAAATAAAAGAGTCATGACACAAAATTACTCTGAGCTTTCTGTGAATCATGCTTTTCCCATTATGCTTATTCTCCAAGAGCAACAGTTGTTCCTCTTGACTGATGAAAGACACTTTTCAAAAACAAAAACAAAAAAGAGTAGACTGCCTGTGATTCCTGCAGAAGAGGGAAAAAACTGAAGGTCAAGATAGTTGTCCTTTGCAGACTTCAACCCATCCTTCATCGTGATTCTGCTTCTCTTCTCTTCCATATGCTCTTTCCAATTCCCTGATATTCCTGTTTTCACCCATGACCCCTAGAGTCTATTCACTAGTTAGGATGATCTTTGTAAAACCTAAGTTAGATTATCTCACTTCTCTGTTCAAAGCACTTTAGTGCTTTCTTATCTCACTCAAACTAAAAATTTCAAAAGGTTTAACATGAGATCCCCAAGGACCATGTGATCTGGCTTCTCTCCAACTTTCTAAATGTGTCTCCTGCCATGCTCCCATTCTAATCCTCCTCCTGCCACACTGTACTCCTGCTGTTCTTTAAACATGTCAAGCACACTTCTGCCTCAGGACATTCATACTTGTTCCTTGTGCTGGGACACATTTCCAAGCTGGTACATGAGGTTTACTCTCTCACTTTTTTCCAAGTCTTTGCTCTAATTTCGTTACTTTAAAGAAGCCTTTCCTGAATAATCAATTTGTAACAGTACAACATCCATCACTCAGTGTCTCCTTATTCTCCATTATTTTTCTTCTTAGTTCTTCTCACTCTCTAATATATATTTACTTGTTTATGTCCTTAGAGTCTGCCTCTTTTCACTAGAGTGTAAGATTTCTGAGAGCAAAGACATGATTTACTTTGCTTATTGGTATATTCCAAGCATCTAGAACAGAAGCTGGCACACGGTAAATATTAGTCAAATAAATAATTCAATGCCCATATGTGGTATTATTGAACTAATAAGATACTGAAAGCCATTCTTCTGAGCTATCCCTATGCAGTTGTGTTACTGGATGTCAAAAACCAGGAATAAGACATTATATGGGTAAAGAGTTGCAATACTGAAATAAATTTTACTAGAAACTATAATGTGAAGTATATTTCTAAAAGTGAGAACACTAATAATATGCTTATAATGTAATGTTATATAAAACTGTTGTGAATAACATAAGTGTTGACTCTAAACTCTAAAACTCTTAAATGAAAATATTTGAAGATATTTTGACCCTCTCAAAAGTGTTTAAATGTTAACATTGGTGCTTGAAGGAGATTCTAAACTGTAATTGAGTGTCTGAGAAAAAACTAAGTGGCCTGTGATCTACATTGGCAAAACAATCAGAACCAGAGCCTGAATCACCACAAACTTCACAGTCCAGGATATAGTGAAGCCCTGGTGGCATAGTTGTTAAGAGGTACGGCTACTAACCAAAAGGTCAGCAGTTCGAGTCCTCCAGTTGCTCCCTGGAAACTCTATGGGCCAGTTCTACCCTGTCCTATAGGGTTGCTATGAGTCGGAATAGACTTGAAGGCAATGGGTTTGGTTTATTTTTTTGGTCTAGCAGTAGTGGCTCAATGTCAGTAATGTGATATCCATTATCCATGCACTCAAGAGAACCATAGTACTGATTTCTCCATAGTCTGTTTTTCTAAGATTCAATGCATGTTTGGTAACTCAGTGAGTGTGTGTGTGTGTGTGTGAATGAGAGAGAGAGAGAAAGGAAGAAACGGAGGAAGGGAAAAATTAATCATGGAAGCATGACTACATTTCTATTTTAAAAATTGCTACCCTCTGTCCTTCATTGTTAATCTCTCCCTAGTTTGGTTTTGCTTACCTCCTTGATTGATTGATTTTAAGGATGAGGGAGGGTATGTCAGCAAAGAACATAAGTTGACCATTTAAGCAATCAGTTATCGTTAGTCACTGGACCTCATCACCAATATTACTCTCCTATATGTTTCATTTGTCAATAAAAACTGTTGATATTTACTATTTTTAATTGCCAGGAAAGAGGTAGAAGCATCTTATCAAAGTGTGCCGTTTAATAGTGGGCACCTGGATTTTAACAGGTGGTTTTTCAAACGATCGTTGTACCTAAAAACAAAAAACAAAAAAAAAAAGGTTCCAGATGAGACATGTCTCTTGTGTATTTACAGAAAGCATTTTGCACAATGGACTAGAAAATGCTGGGAATGGAGGGCATTCCTAGGGTGGATGGTACCAAGACCACAGAAATTCTAACTCTCTGCCACTTCCACTCTACTCTTAGAAGTGACTGTGCCAGACTGTGTTCTTTACCTCAAAATAAACACTTCATGCATGATCTAATACCTTTAACCTCCACTTCCCCTATTTTCTGTTTCTGAGAACTGGATCTCAGTTATCCCCACCATGGCTGATCCCTCACTCCCCTAAGATTCAAATTCCAGGATTCCTGTAAGATCTGAGCAATAAATAACTTTCATGTTCCCCCAGCTAAGCTGACCTCTGAAGCCCTCTACCATGCACTGATCAATGAAATCCTACTTCCCTAAACCTGCTATTTTTAGTCTTTTCTCAGGAATACCCTTGAAAGCACAATGCCTAACTCCTATTTATTCACCAGCACCTAACTTACCAAGTTCCTATTCCCAGAAATACTGAGAGTTTTGATACTATCTTCTCTAACCCCACCAAACGTAACAACCCTCTTTTCCCACAGGAGTTTTACTGTTCTCTACAATTTTGAATTGAAAAGCAACCACAATTTCCTGTGTTCGTAATACCACTCACCTTCCCTCAAAAAAGAGGATAAGATCTATTCATTCATTCATATATTTATCTATTCAATGAATATTAGTTGATGTCTACTACATGCTAGGCATGATGAGGTGCTGAAGAAATCCCTGACTTCATAAGGCTTGCATTCTAGTGAGTAAATATAGGTAAAAAACAAACTAATAAAGAAAGTATATACTCAATGGGTGGTGCGAAGAGGTCTAGAGAAAAGTAAATCAGGAAGGAACGAGAGGAATGTTCTGACTGGGGAAGAAACACCACATCTTCTCCTTTGGGCTACTACATTCAAAGAATGTCTCTTCTGTTATTCTCTCTCACATGTCCCAGGTATTTTTGTTTGTGAATCCTATCACAATCTGTAATCACACATCTGCTTGCTGGTCTGCTTGTTTAGTACCCATTTCCCTCACGAGAGTTTACGTTCCAGGGAGGCTGATGTCATATCTATCTCATTTCCACCTGCGTCACCAGCATAGTGCCCATTACCTAGTAGGCCACTCAACATGTATTTGTTGAATAAGTTAAGCAATGAAAATTACTTCAAAATACTCTTTCCCTTCTCTGAATTTTAAGAACTTACAACCCATAACATACAAACTTATGTTTTATATTATTTTGTTCTACTTCAATTTCCAGCTGTGGTATATTGGCATATTCTTTTTTAAACCCGATTTTAAACACACGGATGATAGAGGCTAGGCACCGCTCTGCTTTCACTTCCCTAATGAAGTTTGGCATTCACTTAAAAGATGAATAGTAATAAATGCTTCTTGAACTCGTGAATGAATGAGTAGTAAAGGAAAGAGAAGATTACCTTCTGAAATACTTCTTCTAGGTGATAGCACCAAGAATATTTTTGTAAGCATGTGATGAGTCGTGTGATGAAGGGAGAACCCTGTGTTTCATCTCTCCAGGACAAATTATCTATGAAGATAAAGAGCAGTAATCCTTGAGTAAGCCTTCAGTGTTTTTATTTGTCATTTATTTATTTTTTAAAGCATAGCTTGAGAATTCTCTTGACAGGTTTCCGGATAGCACTTATAACCCTACATTAACTCATTTTCTCATAGGAAAAAAATTGTCTGGCAGAAATTGAACTACAGAGGCAATTTGTCAGAATCACAGGAGATTGCCTTGTGAATGCATTGTGATATTTTTGACTGACTTTCTACTACCTGCCTTGCATTCAATCATTTGTCTTTGAAAAGACACTTGAGAGATAACTGGAATTATCCCATTTTTCAGAGTAAAGAGCAGAAACTCAGAAGGATTAAGTAATTTCCCCACATTCACACGGTAAGTAAGCAACAAAAATGGTTGCCTGTTTAGCAATGTTCTTTATAAATTATGCTGGGCCGTCATTCACACTGTAATACAAAAAAATAAACAAATAGATCAATTTAAGAATTTCTGTCCTCACATTACAGATAAAGGATTGTAAAATATATTAGACAGAACTCAAAATTTCTCTGAAATTATTCCTTCATGGGAACTATCATGATTTTCTAGAATTGTTCAGAGGTCACCTCCAGTCCGTAAATCTCTATCCTCAACTGAAAGTTACATACGTGGTGTTGAGGCCCAGAAAACAATGAAGTCTTTCTCCATGTGGGCGTTGTGAATAGTTTCCTCTTCCAGGTTCTCAGATGACTGTGAAGAGCTGTCTGCTGAGACTGATAGAGAGTCCTTGTGCCACGATATTCCTTTCTTTTCTGTAGAGACATGAACTTGCTATGTACCTTCTCAGTATTAAAATCACAATCGCTCATCTCATTTATTTCTAATGTTTATTCTAACTAGTTTCTCTCTCTCACACACACACACACACTCACACACACCATTTGGCTTTTTCTTTAGTGTCATTGAGCAATGTGTCAATAAATAAAAAGTGGCAGTTTCATAAAACCAGAACAATCCATTTGCCAAGAAGAATAAAAGGGTTAAAGTCTTACCTGCATACTTTCAGAACATAGTTAACAGTTTTAGGCTAAAGTATTTCTACCTTTTTAATTAATTAATTACCTAGCTAATTTATTTTCCAGACGTAGCTCCCAATAGCCAGTAGACACTTGGCAGTCAGGAAAAAAAAAAAAAAAAAAAAAGATTTTGACGTTAATTTCCCAAACCCCTCATCTCCCTATTCTTTTCCTTTTCAATAATGTATGAGAAAAGAACATGCTGCTATTACATAATGGCTCTACTTTCAAATGAAATTCTTCTCAAGCCAGAAAATCTCACAATATCTGTAAAACATTTACAAGAAAGCTGTCATGAAAATGACTCCATTCCAAGGCTTGATTATTTGTGTTAAACGCTGATTTAGAGGCATAGGTGAACTTCTTCACCCCTCACCAAGGTTTAAGTGGTCTAGAAAAATTTCAACCAACCAGACAAATTCTCATTATGCCAGCCTCGAGGATGGGTTTCCATATAATTCAGTTTAGTTTAATTACACTGGATGGAGCCTGAGATTGTTTTCCTTAGATCTAAAATGTGCATCACAGTCCTCTGCAAACACTTTCTTGACATCTGGATTTTCCTTCTCACAACTCACCACCTCTGCAGGCCTGGACAATGATAATCTTCGGTTTGTCCTTTAGACTCTGGCAGTTGTTGTTGTTGAAAATCTGGAAGATGGTGTCTAAGGATAACATATCTGGTTGTTCTTCACTATGTGTAGTTCCACATATTCCTTCCAGGAAGCCGTGAGACATGAACACCAGGAAAGTGCTGTCTGAGGACCTGTGCTCTGGGCGGGCAGCAAATTCCTGCAACACTGACTGCATCTCCTGAAAAAGATCACAAAGTTTTACTTAGCAGTACAAGCATTAACATTTATCAACCTCCTTGATTTACTGTGAACAGCACAAGAAACATATGTAAAATCCCTATCACACATACGAATTACTCAATGATGATAAAAACAAAACCAAAACCAAACCTATTGCTGTTGAGTCGATTCCAACTCATAGCAACCCTATAGCACTGCAGTATATTCTAACTTTTTGCTCCTGTTGAAATATTATGAACTGTCCTCTTGATACTTTTTAACTTGCCTTTAAAGTTGCCCTTGAGTCAGTTCTGACTCATGGTGACCGCATGTGTGTCACAGTGGAACTGTGCTATATAAGGTTTTAATGACTGAGTTTTTTTTTTTAATTGTACTTTAGATGAAGGTTTAGAGAACAAATAGGTTTCTCATTAAACAGTTAGTACACATATTGTTTTATGACAATTGTTAACAACCCCACAACATGTCAACACTCTCCCTTCTCAATCTTGGGTTCCCTATTACCAGCTTTCCTGTCCCCTCCTGTCTTCTAGTCCTTGTCCCTGGACTGTTGTGCCCTATTAGTCTTGTTTTGTTTTATGGGGCTGTCTAATCTCTGGCTGAATGGTAAACCTCGGGAGTGACTTCATTACTGAGCTAAAAGGGTGTCCAGGGGTCATACTCTCAGTGTTTCCCCAGTCTCTGTCAGGCTAGTAAGTCTGGTCTTTTTTTTTGTGAGTTAGAATTTTGTTCTACATTTTTCTCTAGCTCTATCAGGGACCCTCTGTTGTGACCCCGGTTACAGCAGAATGACTGAGTTTTTGGGAAGTATATTGCGAGGCCTTTCTTCCGAGGCACCTCTAAGTGTACTGGAACCTCCAAACTTTTGGTTAGCAGATGAGTGCTTAGTCATTTTACCACCCACGGAACTTCTGATAAGATACATTTTACATGTACTTACTGTCACTCATATTATACTTTCTTTCCCATCTCTATTTTTTCCCTTGGTATCTAACAAGACTCTTCCATCATAAACGCATCATCACTTTCTGTCTAAAGCTCTTCCCACTGTTCTTAGAATTAAATCAAACTTCTGGCCTCACTGTTTTCCCTGCTCCCAGCATGCTCCCTCTCTTCCAGGCTCTAGTCACACTGGTCTGCTGGCTGTGGCCTTCACATGCCAGTTACACCTTCAGTTCAGATCTTTCACTGGCAGTGCCCTGCTTGGAATGCACT